ATTTCCTAGATCAATCCATATATTTTTCAATTTATTCAAATTAACCCACCAAATTTTTAAATCCTTTCATTATAGTCACTAACCTGATGTTTCTGTATTACAATTCTCCGCCTTAAGAAAATTCGTCTTATAATTTTAAGACGTACTTGATACGAAGAGGTGTGAATACTGCTTCCTCATATTCCCCTCTCTTTCCCAAGTATCTTCTTTGACTTTTCTTGTTACGCAATTCTTTGTTTTCTCGAGCCAATATCGGCACTGGTTCTTCTTCGTAAGCCAAATCTAGTCGGACCTCTATTTCCTCTGGTGTGATAATATGCGATGGATATGATCGGTACTTCCTGAGCATCGACACCTGAAAAACAATGTAGATCTTGTCCATGTCAGAAGGCAAAGCTAACTGATAAGCTACTGGTTTAACCCTTTTTAAAATCTCATAAGGTCCAATAAATCTCAGACTCAGCTTCCCTTTGCGCCCAAACCGCAACACTTACTTCCAAGGGGATACTTTCAAAAATACCTTATCTCCCACTTGATATTCAATCTTTTTTCTCTTTAGATCAACATAAGACTTTTGTCGATCGGAAGCTATCTTCAGATTATCTTGGATAACTTTCACTTTATCTTCTATTTCTTTCATCAAATCAGGGCCAACTAGATTTCGATCTTTTATCTCAAACCAATTTAATGGTGGTCGGCACTTCCTCCTATACAAGGCTTCATACGGAGCTATCTTAATACTCGATTGGTAATTGTTATTATAGGTAAATTCCGCTAATGACAAATATATTTCCCATGATCCTTTGAATTCAATCACGCATGCTCTTAGCATATCCTCCAATATCTGAATAGTTCGCTCTGACTGCCCATCTGTCCACGAATAAAAAGTTATGCTAAAATTCAATCGAGTACCCAATGCCTCGTGCAAAAAATTCCAAAACCTTGAAGTAAACCTTGGATCTCGGTCGGAAACTATTGATACAGGTACTCCATGCAACCGAACTATCTCTTTTACGTACAACTATACATATTTATCCATTGAGTAATCTATCCGAACTGGAATAAAGTGAGCATTTGTCCACGATTACCCATATTGAGTCATTTTTACTGGTGTCAAATGTAGCCATGAAACAAAATCCATTGTAACTTGATCTCATTTTCACTCAGGAATGCATATCGGTTGTAGTAATCCAGAAGGCACTTGATGTTCATCTTTCACTTGCTAACATGTCAAGAATTTTACAACAAACTCTAATACTTTTCATGCCAACCCACCAATAACGACTCTTTATATCTTGATACATCTTATTCCCGCTGGATGTATCGTCAAAAGACTATAATGTGCCTCGTAGAGAATATCCTTCCTCAGTTTTTCATTATTTGGAATGCAAAGTCTTCCACGATAATATAAGCATCCATCATTCCTGATTTCGAAGTCTTTGGCCTCACCTTTTTCTATTTATGCAATTCTTGACAAACATTTTCCATCTTTTCCTTGCAACTCTTTTATCCGATCCAACAGTATTGTCTTTAACTTAAGCTCATCAATCAAGGTTCCATCTTCCTTTAATGATATACTTGCATCCAGAGCTCAAAAAGCTGAAAAAGTCTTTCAGCTAAATGTATCAGCTACCACGTTAGCCCTCCCTAGATGATAATCGATGATCACATCATAATCTTTTAAAATCTTGATCCATCTTCTCTGACTCAAATTCAATTCGTTTTTGAGTCAGCAAGTACTTTAGACTTTTGTGATCTGTATAAATATGACACCGCTCACCGTACAGATAATGACGCCAGATCTTCAAAGCAAACACGACCGCTGCTAATTCTAAGTCATGTGTCGGGTAATTTCTCTTGTGAGTCTTCATCTGTCTTGAGGCATAAGCCATAACTTTCCTTTCTTGCATAAGCACACATCTCAACCCATTATGAGATGCATCACTAAAAACTACATAATTTTTACCCGACTCTAGCTGTACAAGCATTGGTGCTTCTGTGACAATCATCTTTAGCATTTCAAAACTTTCTTGGCATTTCTCTGACCAAACAAAAGGAACATCTTTTCGTAACAATTTAGTTAGCGATGAAGCTAACATCAAAAAGTTCTTCACGAACCTTCGATAATAACCAGCAAGCCCCAAGAAACTCTGAACTTCAGGAATATTCTTTGGGGGGTTGTCAATCCACTATAGCTTGAATCTTTTTGGGATCTACTTTTATGCATTCTGTGGAGACTATATGGCCAAGGAAATCAATCTCTGTTAACCATAATTCACATTTGGATAATTTGGCGTACTACTTCTTCTCTTGAAGAGTTTGAATAACAACACGAAGATGAACATCATGCTCATATATTGACTTTGAATACACCAAAATATCATCGATAAATACCACCACAAATTGATCCACGTAAGGTTGGAAAACTTGGTTCATCAAACCCATAAATGTTGCAGGAGCATTAGTCAATCCGAATTGCATCCCCACAAATTCGTAATGTCCATACCGAGTCTGAAAAGTTATCTTTGAAATATTCTCCTCCTTAGTCTTTAATTGGTGGTATCCTGACCTAAAGTCTATCTTAGAGAACACTATTGTGCTTTTCAGTTGATCAAACAGATCATCAATTCTTAGAAGATGATACTTATTTTTTATTGTTACTTTATTTAACTGTCGATAATCTATGCATAATCGCATAGACCATCCTTTTTTCAGAAAAGCATAGGTGCCCCCCAAGGAGAAACATTGGGTCTGATAAATCTTTTATTGAGCAGCTCCTGCAATTGGGCCTTTAATTCTCTTAACTCAGTTGGAACAATTCGATATGGAGCCATATAAACAGATTCAGTACCCGGGTAACATCAATCTTGAATTCCACTTCACGGTCTAGAGGTAAACCCAATAATCATTCTAGAAAAACATCTGGAAACTCCCTAACTGTTGGAATATATCTAATCTCGCTTCTGATAGTCGAGTGTCTATCACATTAGCCAGAAAAGTTGTACACCCTTTTGACATCATTTTCTTGGTAGTCATTGTTGATATCACATTGGATGGTGATTTTTCTTTTTCACCAATCATTAATATTTTTGAGCCTTCCTCATTCTTCAAAAATAATCGTTTCTTACGACAATCAACCCATCCATGATGTAGAGACAACCAATCCATGCCCAAAATAATTTCAAACTCATCGGAAGGCAATTCCATTAAATTTGTCGGGAACACAACCCCTTGAATCTTTATTAGACATTTTCTACATACCTGCGTTACTCTTGCGCTATGACTCATAGGGTTTACCACTATCATCTCACTAAAGATTGGTTCTAAAGGAATTCCTCTAGCTCTAATCAACTTTGTACTAATATAAGAGTGTGCCGAACTAGGGTCAACCAAAACAAATACAGGTTCATCAAAAAGATGGAATGTACCTGTTAAAATCTCCGGGCCATCCCGATCTTTATTAGTTTTTATATTATAAATTTTGGCTACTCCCCGAGTCTCTAGTCACGAGATTGACTCAGATTGTCCTATGGATCTACCTCTTCCTATGCTTCTATTAGATGATGCTACTGATCTCTCAGTTTGCATTGAATTATCCCCGGATTTCTTAGGACAATTTCGAGCATAGTGACCAGTTTCACCACACTGAAAACAAGCTCCACTGAGCAATCTACATACTTCATAGTGAAATTTGCCATACGTTTGACATGGAGTAGTTCTTTCTCCATATGCTATACCCGAGCTAGCAACAAAAGACTATGATTGTTCATTCTTCTGCGAAGCTGCAACAGAACCATCTCTATTATTATATCGAGAGCTAGAACCCTTGCCTCTTTTCGCATGATAGGAAGTTGAAGACGTTCCAACTCTTTTTCCCATCTACATACCCTGCTCCGCTGCTAAAGTCTCCTCTTGATCTCTTTCAATGGCCTTAGCTCAGTTTATGACTTCTTGCAGGCTAGGCAAGTTTAAAGCCAACATTATCTCTTTCAACTTAGGCTTCAAACCCTTGATGAACCAATCATGTCGAACTTTTTCATTGGGAACTACCTCAGCAGCAAAACGACTCAGCTTGTTATACTCAACCTCATACTCATATACTGCTAGATCACCTTGTTTCAGATTAAGAAACTTCAGCAGCATCGCCCACCTAAATTGTTCACCAATGTACTTGTTCTTAAATTCATCCTGAAAGAACTGTCAGGTCACTTGCTCAGGTGGTGCATACATCATAGTATTTATCCACCACACTCGAACTGATCCTCAAAGTAAAGATATGGCTCCGCCCAGCTTTTCATAATCTGAACAGTGAAGACTTTCTAACATTACCTTAATGTCGTTTAACCATAAATCAACATCTATAGGACCTTCATCCTCTTCTCCCTAGAACTTAGGAGCTTCTAAACTTTTTAGCTCTTTAGGGATCAATATCCGTGGTGCTAGAGGAGTAGGGGGAGGTGAAAGAGGTTGAAATCGAGTCAAGATTGCATCGAGAGCCTACATAAAAGCTCCAAACTCTAGCACTGGCATACCCTGATGTACTGGTGCACTAGCGTTTTCAGACTGGATATGGTGCTCACTATTAGCTTCATTACTCTCGCTACCCGACCATTCTCTAACTTCGCTCATTCTCTCTCCGTAAATTTGTATATTCCAACATCTAATAGAACATACATAATAATAACACTCAAGTTAGTAAGGAGTGACATCAATCATATTCTAACTATACCATATCATTAACATCGATATCTTAGTGACATGTAAACCTTTTTTTAAAAGTAAAATACACCCGATTTCGACCTAGAATCGATTAAACCTGTAGTTTTGATACCAATAAATGTAACACTCATTTCTTGTATACGTTTTCGTACACAAGTCACATGTGTCACATGATTTTTAAAACATTTCCTTATTTGTAAACCAATAAAATTTTGTTTCTAAAAATTAAAACATTTTAATATAATAATCATATAACGTTGGTTAACTTTCAGTATGTAAAATAGTCTTAAAATTATAACATATTAAATATTACAATAATCAAAAGTCAAATATATTCCAAAGCATTTCCATAAGTCTATTACATGTCATCTAATAATATCAAAAGTAGATATATTTGTCATACAGTTACTGATGAGGCAACCTTGGATTGATGATGTCAGCTGCACTCCTTACTCCGCTTGTATTAATACATACGCGTTAAACCAACACACGCTAAGTATTTACTTAGTGAGGCATAATAATAATACCTATGAGATGAAACCATAACATAAGTATATCATAAAATATTAAAATACGAATTAAATAGTATAAATCATAAGAATACATAGAACTGGCTTGGTAAACTAAGTTTCTTTCACATAACCTACGAAACAGTATTTAGTATGCCCATCATACATATCAATCAATATTTTTCTAAATTATCCTTTATTTTCCCAATGTATGTCGAATGAGAATGCAAGGTACATGCGTTGCACCTAAGTGCCGAAATGAAAATCCATAAACTCATTATGAATTCCATGAATGCACATATAGTGCCAAAATAATCATTCATAAACTCAATATGAATATCATGGGTGCGCATATAGTGCCGAAAGTACACATAGTACTGATACGAAAATGAAGCATAATCATTAAACAAAATCGATCGATAACTTTTATACAAAAATGCAACTTATGCATTAAACAAAATCGATCGATAACCATCATACACAGAGTATGTCGAAATGAACTTATAAATCTCAATGCATATACAATGGGCCTTTAAGTCAAATTCACATATTAAACATTTATTACTGAAACATAGATAACTGTTAAAACAATAATAAAAATTCATCTATTCCTTTTTTAGCGGTTCATACTCTAAAATTATTCGTAACATCAGTTATATAACCATTATGAAGATATATCAATATAATGTAAACATACTTTTATCAAAACATTCGATGTTGACTCATCGCAATACTCATCTCATATAAGTACATAATAATGCACTCACCTAGTGTTCCTCACTATTATGCGTTAATGATGTCCGACTATTCGACAACTTTATCCTTGCCCTTTTTTTTGCTTGACTCAGGAGCTTGATTACGATATACACAAGCATTCATAATTACACATACAATACAAATGTTAGTATATTTTCTAACATTTATACATATAATAATACTCAAAAGTACTATTATTTTTTAACTCTATTAAAATTCATCCTAACTTAAAATTTCAGATTGGATAGTATCGGTAACCCTCCTATGGTATCAATACTTCTCTACTATTATACCAATACTCAATTTAGTATCAATACCATTTTTGAATTCTGGAATTCATTTTTCAATTACAATATCGATACTGCCCAATTGGTATTGATACCTCCACATCAGTATCGATACTACTTGCATAAGTATCGATATTGTTCATCATGTTTATTCTATTTCTTCAAATTTAACCATATAGTATCGGTATTATTCTTCCAGTACTTATATCTTTACCCAGATTTTACATATTTCACTTCGATTTTTTTACCCAATTTTCACCTAAATCTCTTACTCTTATCTCCAATTATACCATCAAACTCATTATCACTTATCACAACTAACTTACATTCATAAATATCATTACAATATTCAATAACTCCAAAGAACATTTAAAACTAAAAATCACACTCAAATTTCAAACATGTTTTCAATCACTTATAAGGCTTCAAATTTCTTATTTACTTCTTTGACAAGTTAAAAATATTTTTAAACTCCAATAACGGACCATATTTAATCAAATAACTCAAAAGCTTATTTTCTTAAATCACTAATAAATTAATAATCTCTTAGTTTTAATCATCATTGAATTTTCCTTAAGTCTCTATATCACTTAAAATCAACCCAAAATCAAAAAGAAAAATCAACTTAAAAAAATCTTACTTTGGTTATGGAGAGTACGAGGATGAAAAAAAGAAGAAGAAAAGAGTAAAGAATTATTTTAGACTTATCTTTTTATTTCTCATATTCAATACTTAAATATCTCTTAAAAAATAAATATTAAATTTATTTCTTCTTAAAAGATCATAATATTCTTCTATTATTCCATTCTTAATAATAAGTCATAAATACAATTGCCTAAACCAATATATGTACTTTTAAATTTATTTAAATTAACCCATCAAATTTTTAAATTTTTTTATTATAATTGACCCGATGTTTGGGATATTACATAGGCACAGACAGCTGTGTATGCGATTGACTTTGTGACAGAGATGGGTTTCCGGGTAGTAGTGGTTGAAGTTGCTCACCTACTGGCAAAGGATCATCGTTGGGATGAAGAGGATAAATTTTGGGTTGAAGAGCTCCCGGATGTTGCTGCTGCTCAATCGAACAAGGATCGTCGTTGGTTAGATCCACCATAGCTGGTCGGTGTGGGGAGAGCAACTGTGTTCTATAGTTCGATCTAAATCTGGGTTTTTTTTTCTTGCTGGAGCTTCTCGTGGTTTTCTCTTTCACCGAGCAAGAGTTGAAAGGTCAGCTTAGTTTTATGTTTTTATGTCTTTTTCGTTTGAGAAAATAACCTCAGTGACCAAAAATCCCATATAATATACGATTTTAACCAACTTTTTCCGGATTTTCCAAAATGACCAACAAAATCGCAATGCGATCGCTAATTCACAACGCGATCTCCATTATCGCAAATTCGCGTTGCATTTTCGCAATGCGATAGTTGAAAATCGCGTTGCGATGGTCTACAGTATCGTTGCGATTTTCCCAATTCGCAATGCGAATAAGTAAATCGCAACGCGAATTGGGAAATTCGCAATGCGAATAAGTAAATCGCAACGCGAATTGGGAAAATCGCAATGCGATACTGACTATCGCAATGCGATAATAAAAAATCGCAACGAGATACTTACTTTCGCAACGCGATACTGACTTTCGCAACGCGATAATACATAATCGCAATGCGATTTTCAAAGCGCCATTAGTATCCTGGCCAAGTATTTTATTTTTAAATTCCAAACATGAATATAAATATATTGGAACACTGAACTGTCCACAGTATATCCCGTAATCGCAACTCATAACCTAAAACCTAAAATCACAACTCAGTCCCATCTCCATCTCTCACTCTCTCATCCATCTCCGACGAAATCCGTCCCCATCTCCGGCGAAATCCGTCTATCTAAATCTCTCAGAGCCACCCTCACAATCAGAAATGGAAAATCAACCAAATCAACCAACGAGGGTTAGTTTTTTTAATTATTTTCTTTTTGAAATTTTTGCATTATTATTAGGTTTTTCATATTGAAATTGATGATAAGTTTACTGGTAATTTCAATAATAGATTAACCATTTCACTTAGATTGCTTATTAAATCAACCAAGAATCGCAACGCAAAATGCAAATCGCAACGCGATTTTAGTTTCGCGTTGCGATTCTCTCGTTGCGATAGTCATTTTCGTGTTGCGATTTTCATTTTCAGAAACTATTCTTCTTCTGCAAATTGAAACTTGAATGAATTGCATTACTTCAACCAAAAAACAAAGACAAATACGAAATTCACAGTGTTGCATATTTAAGTTTGAAGAATAAACTACTACTATTTATGTTTATTATTGTTTTTGGTATATCTTCACAGTGTAGTTTTTGGTATATCTAATTTAGTATGTTTATTGTTTTTGTAGAACTTTTATTCGGCTCAATTGACCTTGAGAAATAAAGTCAGCCTGACCAAAACAATTGCGTCGAAGCTTTCACCTGCACAAAGAAAAATGTTTGAGGATACATGCTTCGGGCCATGGCTGAAAGTACAACATCCCGGTGGAGATGCGATGTTGACACACCTGTTTCTTCAAACCATGACTAGAGATCTACCAGAGACTATACAACGACGTGATGAAGAGATACGGTTTGATTTTCCACCGGCGTATACGTGTTTTGGGCGGGAGGAGTTTTGCTTAATCACCGGTCTACGCTTCGGACACGATGATGTAGGTCGGTACACTAGACACATTACCCGCCCATCATGGCTATCCCGGGTTTTTCCTGAGCTGGAGAGGCCGAGTCTACACGTAGAAGACCTGACAAGATTTTGAATAATAAAGATGGTTTTACTCGGATGGATGACGTCGACGTTGTCCGAGTATGCCTTCTAATTCTTTTGCATGCCGGCTTTTTAGGCAGAGAGGCCAGACAACCTATTCTAAATGATCTAATCAAATTGGTAGAAGACCTAAATGCGTGGAACCTGTTTCCGTGGGGCTCGTATTTATGGAAAGCTACATGGAATAAGTTATCGTCTGCCTTGGATGATCGAAAAAGTTTGCATGGTGATGGTTCCAAATACACTTTGACAGGCTTTATTTGGGCCTTTAAGGTAAGAATTTTTATATAATTTTTCCAAAATTATAAGTAATTATTTAACAATTACTAATGTTTGTTATTATATTGTTTGTAGATTTGGATATTTGAGGCCTTTCCCGCCATGAAGACATATGCAATAAAAACTTCAAATAATATTCCCAGGGCTATTTCCTGGAAGAGGAAACGAACCTTGCAATGGGAAGATTTACTACGGTATACGACAATAAATAATGTAAGTTAACATAAATACTACCATATGTTTATAAACAAGTTATTACTAGTACACATTTAACTTTGTTTGAGCTTTTATATTGTTAGGAGGCCAACACTCCTCTACAGAGGCTGACACCCACGGAAGCTGAGCTTGCCACTGATTGGTGGCAAGCTAGTAAGCGTTTTTTTGATGGAACGGTTGATGAGCAGCCTCCACTTTGGGAGCCATCACCTCGCCCAGAGCTATCACCTCACCTAGAGCAATCATCTGATCGACCCGGCTATACACCTCCACAACGACAGCCATCACCTATTATGTCACATCATCGAGCCTCTTCTCCACCATCACCGCAAGATAGGCGACCGGCAAAGATGCCACGACGTTTATCTCCCTGTTCTCCACCTCCACCTCAACGGGATGAGTTAGGGGAGTTACGTGATGAGGTCAATACCTTGCGTGAGGAGGTCGGTACTTTACGCAAAGACGATGGTGCATGGCGTGTTGAGGTGTCTACATTACGCGGTGAGGTAGCCGCTCTACGTGAGATGGTAGCATCGTTGCAGAATGAGGTTCATACTCTACGCAACGAGGTAAGTTTAAGATTTTTCATACTCGTAATTCATTCGGTTGCTGCCAATCTGTTTTGTTAGTATTTGTTTTGGTTTTGTTTTTGTCTTTTGGTTGAAGTAATGCAATCCATTCAAGTTTCAATTTGCAGAAGAAGAATAGTTTACTTTCACAACACGAAAATGACTATCGCAACGCGGAAATGGCTATCGCAATGCGAAATAAAAATCGCAACGACAAAATCGCAACGCGAAATGAAATCGCAACGACAAAATCGCAACGCGAAATGAAAATCGCAATGCGATTTGTGTTTCGCATTGCGATTTTGTCGTTGCGATTTCATTTCGCGTTGCGATTTTGTCGTTGCGATTTTCATTTCGCATTGCGATAGCCATTTCCGCGTTGCGATAGTCATTTCGCGTTGCGATTTTAAGTTTCGTGTTGCGAAAGTAAACTATTCTTCTTCTGGAATGTTTATATATGTTGTCCTTTTAAATGTTTATGTAAGTGCTTACTTCTGGAATGTTATCTGAGCATTTTGTGAACTATGATAGAATAATGATTTGGGTGAATACAATGCTAGTTTGAAACATATTTGTCTTTGTTTAATATCATGTCTGTTTATTTACTGATTTATGTATTAATTTTTTTTAGCGGCCCGATAAGGTGGATGCTTTACGTCGGGTTTTCCTTGCATGACGGAGTTCACGCATCAGACGGCGTGGACGTGCTATTACGTCTCCGTTCACCCCAATGGTACGAAGACTCCGCAAGAAGAAGCCCGACTCACCGGTCATCCCTCAAGAGTCCCCTCCAATCGTTCAAGAGGCCCATTTTCTCCCTCAAGATTCCCCCCCCCACCGTTCAAGAGGCCACTGTCATCGTTGAAGAGGTCCCTTCCACCATTCCAGAGCCCGATTCACATGGGGTAATATATCGAAGTATTGAGAAACCCCCACCGGTTCCGGACATGATGGATGAGAGTTGGCTCTCGTATGAGTTACCGGCTAGTACCCTTCCGGTATCTGAAGTGGAGAGGAGACAACTACCGGAAACAATTATGGATAATACCCTTTGGGCTAAGACCGCAGTTGATTTTTATCTACATGAGCGGAGCCAAGGGTGTTACACTGACATCAGAAAACTCAACGATGAAATGTTTTTGTTGCTTGATCGGTCTTGGTGGGGTGTGCTATTAGGGGTTGAAGACAGTGGCTATTTGGATGGGGAGGTAAGACTATATTTGTCTTATATATGATTTTGATTAATTTGTTTAAAAATTAATGCAATTCACTAATATATGTATTTTTTTGTAAAACAACATATCGATGCGTGGGTGTCACGTCTACTAATAATAAGGAAGCTTAGAAAAAATAAAAAAAATTCGCTATATACAATAATGCCGACGGCTTTTCACACAGTTCACTTGAAGAATCAACGAGATGAATCATTTTTGTTGGGCAATGGACAAGCTAAACTTTATCCTGCATGGTGGGAGGTCGATAAGGTTAGTGTTAATTTTTAAATTTTTTAAAGGTGTTAATAATAAGTGCGCAAATAAATGAATTATTACTTATGATCGCAGGTGTTTATCCCTGTTTTGGAACGTCGTCACTGGCTTCTCGTCCAACTTCAGCTCCCATCCCTGAAGATAATAGTGTATGACAACATGATCAATTACATATCACTGTCTGATTTGAGAGATATTTTCAAGGGATGGAGCTCTCATTTGGCTAAATTCTTGGATGGGATTAAGTATTGGAGTCATTCTGGACACAAGAAGCCAAAGAAGTTCAATGTCACAGTTGTCAGAGACGAGACCGTGCCACAGCAATCGCCGGGAGCCAGAGGGGATTGTGGTCCTCTCGTATGCCTTTGCTTGGCGCGTTTGACGACGGGAAGCACAGAGTTTTTACCTCCCACCGATAGAGATAGAGCTGCAGTAGGCTTGTGGTTTCGGCATTATATGGCTAGAGCAATATATTCGAGACGCTGCCTACCTGCATCCGCGTTATGAAAGTGTCCATTGTTAATTGGTAAGTCAAATGCAAGTTTTGTTAACATATATACTCCTTTTGGTTTGAAAATGTTTGGTTAAGTACCTAGAATTCAATAATTTGTTGTTTGTAGGTTTTAGATGTGTAGGAAGTCTTGTTTGAGCAAATGTTTGGTTTCTGCAGGTTAATCCTTAAGTGAGCTGCGTGAAATGGATGTATGGGGTCACAAAGTTGTTGATTCATTGATTCAATAATTGATGAAGAAATAAGAATTATTATTATTTTTTGATTGTTTAATTGATTTGTAAAAGATGATTTGTAAATCTTGATTTGTTTAATTGATGTGTACATAATTTGTGTTGAAATGTAATAATTGATTTGTTGATTTT